TTGTCTTTGGATATATAACTAAAGAAGATCAATCAAGAGCTTATGAAAAGCTAATAAAATATAGAGAATATTTAGAACAGATAGAAAAATTAAAAGAACATTCAATAAAATAATCATTGTGGTCACAAATTAAAAGAATTAAAAGATACAAGACTTAACCTGCAATATATTTCATTAAGGGCAATATAGACATTCTAAAGGAGGAATAGTTGCTGCCAACTCAATCTGGTGACTTTCTGGCCTAAATTCCCTGTAAGCCTAGCACTACCCTTGAATATATTGGTGGATGTCAGGAAACTTGTTGTTTGGCCACCATTTTGCAGAAATTATAAATTTTAAAATAGTGATTGATGGAATAATGTGAAATTGAAAGTAGAGTCATGCTAATTGTACAATCGAGGTTGACAACGTCGATTGACAACCACTCACATAGGGGGTCCACTTTTTTTTTTTTTTTTGAATTTTTTTAAACATGCGGTCCGCACACATGTGAGAGGTTGTTGATTTCGGTTGTACAAATAGAATTTTCCAGGAAAGTAATGGAAAGTTTTAGAATAATATGTAATATTATTTTATTTGGAGAATATGTGGTTAAAATTAAGAAAGAGAAAAATGTTAAAAAAATTAATAGAGGCCAAAAAAGTGCTTAATCGGGAGATTGACTTTGTAGGAAACCTATTTCATATGTTCCTATTTAATGTTACTGACCAACAACTTTTAAATTCTTCTCCTTTCATTTTTTTCTTTTTTCTTAAATTCCAATAGGTCCAAGCGTTTATATTGTAAAGTTTATTTATTTATTTATTATTTCATTCTTTGAAATAAACATTGAACCAACAACCGAATTGAAAACGGTTTTCGAAATCGAATTTTAATATTGTTGCTAACGAATCGAAAGTCACATTTTACATTGAATGCTCGTAAAAATTTGGAATTCTTGTCTTAGTTGATGTACCATAATCTCGTAATTGTTCTCACGATAAGTTTTCTTCAGTAGTCGCATCAACTCAGTTGCAATTTCATGTTCCTCGTAGAGAATGTCTATCTCCACTTCATCGTCACTATTACGCTCGGCGGAATGATTCGTCCACATTCCCGTTTTCTGAGGAAATTGTGGATTGCCATTGTTGCTATAAGAACCGCTGTTTAAACACCAACATATTAATTGGGCATCCTATCAAGAATATTACACCGCTTATTCCACACTCCAAATGACCTCTCAATAATGTTTCTACAGGACGAGTGGTAAAAGTTGAATTGCTCATGGGCATTTCAAAATCTACGTTTGGACGATTACTCTCGATACGAAACACTTGGAAATGATATATGATATATTAGCTTTTATAAGCGGCCATATATCCTGGTCTATCTGCAAAACCCTAATCGACCAAATAATATTTGTCTGCTGCCGATTTGAGAAATTAATATATGCACTGTTAGAGAATAACGCAACAATATGACAATATGAACTCAAAAAATTTACATGAAAATCCAACTAGGAAAAACCATGGAAAGAGGTGGAGAATTTACTATAATCAAAGTAAAGAGTTAAAATATGTTACACTTGATCTCAAAAGATTTTTTCCTAGATATCTCTATTTTCGAGGCTCTCTATTAATTTGGATCATCTCTTTGTTATTTTCTATCAAATTTGTATAATATACCACATATTTATAATACAACAATCCCTAACATACAAAAAGAATTAACACAATGAAGAGTTTAATATAAAGTGAAGATACAATGAGTAAATCCAACAATGAAATATTTGGGTTGAAATATGAATAAAAAACTGCCAAAATCGGAATTGGAATCCTGCCCGGCCATCACCGTCTCGAGCGATAACACCAACTTGGAGAAAAGAGACGGTTATTTGAGGTGGTGGTGGAGGTCTGATGGCAGGTGGCGGCGTGGTAAATTTTATGGTTTTATGTGTGATTAGGTTGGGTTGAGTTGGGGTGTGGGTTGGTTGGAAATGGAGATAGGTTGGGATGGAGAAGACACAAGTTTTTTTCCCCCCTTTTTTTGTTTGTTTTTTAATGTAATTATTTTATTTGTTTAATGTGATAAATATAAGTTTACTATTTTTCCCTTTTGAAATTATAAAAAAATGATCAATTTCAATTTTAGTGGTCAACTAACGACTTCTTGGATGGAAACCGTCCACAAGGGTCTCGCATGCAACAATTGGAAATGTTAAAGAGTAACGGCTACAACGATTGAAAGGTTTGCAAAAAATCTTCTACCGTTTTAAAAGTTTGGGACTTTTGTTACAATTATGTCTATATTTTATTATCCATTGATTAGCTTATATTATGGTGGAATATGTTGGTAGATAATCCACGTGTCAAGGTAGTGACACTATAACCTAATCACATGACAAAAAATTGTTATCAGATATTTCTCCATGACCACTATCAACATTAAAAAACAAAAATTAATAGAATAGCTTCATATATCTAGGATCACTTCATACTATTGGGTCAAAGTGATAATTCAAATTTTAGGTTTAAATCCAACAACAGTGGAGTGGATTACTTCATACTCTTGTAGCCTATCTCTAGACATCCCATCTTGTGACCTATTTCTAAGCTAATCTTTCAACCTATCGAACACACTGGTAGGTCGAGGCTCTCGCTCGTACATGGGTGCAAAATTGAACTCATCGTGTGGGTCAACTATACGGCTATCTTGGATTCAAATGGTATCTATGCGTACAACCATTGTTTAAGGGGGCGTCATCCTTATTTCTAGGGACCCTTCTTGAAAGGGCACTAATGGTTCGACTTCTTAATTTCCATGTCGAGGTGGAAGAGGTTGCATGTATGCAGTTTGTTCTCTAGGTGTCACTTCGATTGCTCTTGTATCTCACCTATTTTTAGGCATGTCATTATTACGAGGCCCATTTCTAAGTTGGGCACTTCCTAGCATATCAAAGATGCTGGCTGACCTAGAAGGTCGCTTGCGCTTGTGAGTGTGTGAGAAGTTTTCCTCTACCTCATTAAGCGGGTCTATTGCAAAACGGGGGCTAACCTATTTTTCCCTCATATCTTGAGGGGGATCACTTTGCATTTCTTGTTGAAATTGCAAGGAAGATGAGTTGCATAACAATGCTTTGCCTTGTGAAGTCCTCAAGTTGCCAACCACATCTTTCATTTCTTTTGTGGTGTGTGTAACTCTTCTTATTCTCCGGCGAGGTGGCTATTGAGGTGATGCCTTTCTGACTATCAAAACTTCATTTTCAAAAGCTTCTCTTTTAGCTTTTCTGGGGTAGATTCCTTTCTCTTCACTTGCACTCTTTTCGGGTCAAAACATATCAAATATAATCTCCTTTTCTCCAAGGGTTTGCATCTCCACAAAGCTTTGGCCTTATTCAAGGATGAGGCCAGAAGATATTCTCTTTTTTCAAAGGCAAAAACTTCTAGGTTTTGGCTCTTCATCTTATAGGAATAAGGACTCCAAGATTCTACTTTCTTTTTTAAGGAATAAGGATCCAAGATTTCATCTCTCACTTTTTAAGGAACAAGGACTCCAAAATTCTGCTTCGTTTTTGAAGGAATAAAAAATCCAAAATTTGAAGATTCTTAGATTGATTTTTTCGAAACTTTCTATTGTTCACCCTTAAAAAAAACATTTTTCGAAGAGAAAGAACACGATTTTTTTGATAGGCCTTTTGCTCACAGGATATACTTGAGGTCAATGTTTGGTTTTTCATAGACGGTGTCAATTTATTGACCACAAAATCTATTCGATCAAGTATCCAACAAAATCTTAGCCACCTCTCCGTCCATCTAGGCACCAACTGTTGGAGACACCACCGTGTTGGAGAAGAAACTTACCAAAATATGTAGCAACAAATCACAAACTTGCAGCAACAAATCACAAACTTGCAACCAAGAAATTAAACTTGGATAATTCCAACAAAGATTTGATCACGATACCGTTGTCCTCAAACAATATTTACCCCCTTTAGGATTGATTTAATGCT